TACAGGTCAGTGGTATAGCACCCCTGGGTTCAGTTCTCAGTACCTTCCATGATCCCCACAAAAAAAGAAAAGATCCCTGATTTAGGGGAGAGATTCTGTTTTACTGAACTGATTTTGTAGAACTATATATTATTAGGAAAATTCATCAGAACAAAGTAGCAGCTATCAGGGTTCTAAGAAAGTTGTAAAACTCTAGGGGAGATACCAACTTGGATACCTAATTCTCTAGAAGAGCTCTTTAAAAAGCCATCAGTTTCAGTGGTTTTTTTTTTTTTTTTTTTTGGTACCAGGGATTAAACCCAGGGGTGCTTAACCACTGGGCCACATCCCCAGCCCTTTTTAATATTTTATTTAGACAGGGTTTTGCTGAGTTGCTTAAAGCCTTGCTAAGTTGCTGAAGCTGACTTTGAACTCAAGATCCTCCTGCCTCAACCTCCCAAGCCTGCTGGGATTATAGGTGTGTACTACTGAGCCCACCTTTATTTTGTTTTATAGTGGTGCACCAGTGTAAGTTGGTGCTTATTTATGAGTGGATTATGAGAGGTTTTTATGAGGTCTGATAAAATCCTGTAGGTGGCTCTATATGTGTTTGAATCAAAATCAAATTTTTTTAAACAATTTTTTTTGTAGTTGTATATGGACAACTTTGTTTTATTTATTTATTTTTATGTGGTGCTGAGGATCGAATCCAGGGCCTCACACGTGCTAGGCAAGCACTGTACCACTTAGCTACAGCCCCAGCCCCTTGAATCAAAAAATTTTAAAACACAAAAAGTTAAAATTTTATTTTGTAGACAGTAGGATCAATGGATTATAAACATTTTTACTAAGTAGTCATTTTGCAGTAAATTATAAACATTTTTACAGTGAATTTTATTACTAGAATGTCTTGTCTTCAGTTGGAAAAAAAACATAATAGTCTTGGACTTAAAATTTTTGTACTAAATCATTTGCTACAATTATTTTTAAAAAATAAACCAGATGAAAGCCTCCAAGAAGATGTGCAGGTGATAAAAATTTATCTATTAAAATCTGTAATAATTGAGTACTTTGAAATGTTTAATTGCTTACTTTTTTTTTTTTTGTAGTTGTAGATGGATAGCATGCCTTTATTTTGTTTATTTTTATGTGGTGCTGAGGATTGAACCCAGTGCTTCACATGTGCTATGCAAGTACTGTGCCACTAAGCTACATCCCAAGCCCTTCTTTTTTAATTTTTTATTTAGTGTCAACTATAGTTCAAAGATTTTCCTCATTTTTTAGTAGTGTGTAGAATAATATAGGTCCTGATTAACAGATATAGTCATCATCAAATTATAATGTTAATAGAATTATCATTATAAAATTATAATGATAATAGAATCTCTTTACAGTATTGGGGAAATAAAAATGAAAATTCATTGATTAGTGCTTCATGTTGAATGAATTTATTTTAAAATAACTTTATTATATGTAGGTCATTTTTAGCAATCTAATATCCCTGAAAATCTCTGTGAAAATTTTATATCCTAATAAATACATTGTGAATTTTGGCCCATTTCATGTGCTTCACTTTGAGAAGAGTTAATCCATAAAATTGCTTTCTATTTTAACTTATCAATGAAGTGTTATTTTGTGGACCAGAAGCCAACAGGTCACTATAACTTTCTCACAAGCTTTTAAAGCTCCACTGAAAAGTAATTATCTACTTGTCTTTCCTTTTTTTAGCCACTAGAGTTGGTAATGCTTCTGGATCCTCATTTTTACCTGCCAAAAACAATCATTAATTGCAGAAACCAAATCTCACAGTCTAAAGTGTTATATACTATTCAAGCAAAGGGAGATTGTGAAATAATTAAATTTCTATTTTACTCTATGTTTTAATATCAAGATAATATGCATGTTAGAAATCTTGTCTCTTTTTTTTAATTTAACAACTGTCTGCTTTAAACACTTTGCTTTTCTTAAAAAAATAAATAATAATCAAAGTTATTTGGGAGCCAGAGAGTTCAAGGGCTTGGGGAAATGGAGGAGTCAAGTCATTTGCACTTTGTACCTGTAAATTATGTAATAAATTATTAGAATTGTACATCTGGTGCCTGAAAGTTTTGTGGTAGATGTACTAAGCTGCACAAGTTGGTCTTTGGCCTCTTCAAAAGTATTTCAATACTCTGTTCAGCCTTTATTACTACTTGGGGTAATGCTACAAGCTAAGATGCCAAAATAGAGGACCAAGGAATAAAATTGTACCATCTGATATTTTTAGTGGAAAAAAAAGAACACAATTGTTAAGTTTCCAGGATGGTTTTATTAAATTTCCATGCTATGTATAAACATACAAGTGATGAGAAAAACATTAACTTGAAACATGCACTTATCTGGCATTCTCTAAAATACCATTATACAAGTTTTCGTTTACTTAGAAAAATACCCACTAAAACAATCACAGATTTTCTTAAAAGATTTAAAAAAAATGTATTGGCCAGAACAAAGTTCAGGAGAATAAACAAGATTCCAATAGTATGTCAAAAAAACTGTACAAGGTTGTACATAAAACTATAGCTTACAAAAGCCTCAGGTATAGTAAGAATACTGAATTAAGATTTCCAAAGTTCTATTTACCAATATCTATTAATAAAATCCTTATGAAATAATTGACTTAGAAAAAGTGAAATGCTCATGATTTCAGTGTGTATAGAAAATACTAAATATCACTTTCTGAAATAAAGTGTACTCAAAACATCACAACATAGTCTCAGATCAAAATTTCTGTCATTCATTTAAACTTTGCATATAATGCCATGTGGCTTAAGCATAAAATTTCTCTCGCATAATAACTTTAAAAACTAGACTCCAAATCATCTTGTAACTTAATTTTTTATCTTTTGAATTACAGCTATTCTTAAAATCAGTTTTGAGAGGTAAAACATGTTGGGCTTGTTGTTTGGTTGCTTATTTGGGGTTTTTGCCATAATATTATTTTTTTAAATTATTACATTAGAATTTAGGATTTGGTGACTTTCCTATATCTTTTCAAAATTAACATATTCTGTAGGCAATAGAAGTAAAATGACAACTGTGAACAGTTTAAATAAGTTTACATGTTGCTGTGAGTAACCCTTACTTAAGAAAAATGAATCTAAAAATCACAGAATGTCAAAGAAATTAGGTTGCTAATTGAATCATCAGGCCAGTTGGCAATTTTAAGGCTTATACATCAGCATACTGGGAACAGTTTTATATTCCTGTTCTTTTACCTTTTCTTGGGAGAAACAAGAGGCTCTGCAACTATTTGACGTTTTGTGTTTGGGATGGGATAGTCCTTAAGTAGTACTTGGCAAATGCTATTCTAAGCTCTTCTGACATTACAGTTGATTGAGCAGTCTGTTTATTGGACATAATAAAGTTTCAGATGGATAATAGAAGATACATGGCGAAATTGGTATTGTTTCAGAGAGAGAATGAAATGATTCACTGGTTACTTGGAGCATCAGAACACATGGGCCATGAAGACTGCCAGTGAATATACTGTGTAAAGATAAAAAGGCATCATTTTTTTTTCCCCTTGGTGCTTGGGATTGAACCCAGGAAGGACCTTGCACGTGCTGAGTGTGCTTCACCACTGAGCTATAGCCCTAGTCCAAAAATACTATTCTTAAAAACTGTTCCGAATTTTCTCTCATGCTGCATTTATTAGTCTACGTGAAATGTATACTTATTTGGTCACTAAGGGACATTAGACTTCCTTTTCCAGAACAGCAGTACTTTCATTAATAATACTGATTTTTAGGGTAAAGTGAGCTAAAGGATGAATCCCTTGTGCTTTCATGACACCCCCCAGAGGTTTTATTGGTATAAGTTATCACGGAACAGATTCTTACCTTTTTTTTTTTTTTAACTCCCTTCTTTCAACTACGTTTAGTCAAAGCCAAAGGAGAAACACTGAACTAACACTTTTGTTGACAAGCTTAATCAGACTTGACTTAAATATGTCCTTTGGTCTTACAAGTTAGCATGGTTGCTAAGATAAAACAAATGAAATAGAAGTTCTGCTCTTGATATTTGTAACACAGATTACACATGTCTGCCCTCAGAACTGCTCTGGTCTGCAGCCAGAAGTTACACCATAACTGTTAAATGCGGCCAGACGTGCATTCTGTGCCCATGGACTAAATTACACTTTCATATGTAACATTGTACCAGAAGACTTCCATTCTAAAAAAAAAAAAAAAAAGAAAGAAAAATGTTCTGCTAATCCATAGATTTTTTCCAGTACTTCCAAATTGTCATGAAGAGGTATCTAAAAGCAAAGAACTGGAAAAAAAAATCATATTGTATCACATTTGGCCTTAATATAAGACATCAGAACACATCTTTAACAATGGTAAGTTCTTCAGAATCAAAACTTAACTCAAGAGTTTAAAAATCAGATGAAATGTGAGAGAAAAGGTTATCAGGTTCTCAGGACCCCCGATTCATTCCTGTCTCTCTGACGTTGAGTGTGTTGCTGGCAGAGATTGTAACCTCAATACTGCTAAATTTGTGGAAGGAGTGTATGACCTCATGTCCTATTTTGCCAGACTCTGCAAAGTTTAAATGTTAGTGACAGAACATAGACTAGCTTTTGACTGTGCTTGTTTTGTTTTGAAAGAACAAAAAATGCTCTCAGCAAATGTTTTAAGAAACAAGTAATTCCAAGATCCTAAAAATGGTTTCCCGTATTGCCAGGAGAATTTCAGTGCTTTTTAATAAAACACCTGCATAAAATACCTTAAATCTCATCACGTGTGTGCACCAGGAAAAAACTCCAAACTTGTGGAGATCCCCATGGGGAATGTTGGGGAAACAATACAAATAGAATATAAAAAACCAAAATACCATTATGTTTGCATATCTAATGTCAAAAGGCTGAGGTAATATTAACTGCTTAAAAAAAACCCACCATTTTTTGCTTCTGTTATTGCTGAAAAAGACTAATACTGATTGAGTTACCTTACTATACCAAAAGTGGGAGAGGATTTATGAACATTTACTACTGGTGAGGCATAATGTTCAAAGCAAGTAAAAGAAAGTCAGTAAATGGAAAAATATAAAACTATTGTGGATGTTTGTTATCCTTGAGATCTTTAGTGAGGGAGACAGTCCAGCCCCAGTGGGGTTTATTACTTTAGCCTTTTCATGGTCAGAGTTTTTAAAGCTAATTATCCCCACCCACTCAGATTCTGTTTCCAGGTGAATCCTTAAAAATAAAATTTTCAAGTTCTTAATAAATAATAGTTGCAGTTCCTCCTGAAGATGCTGGGTAAAGTGCAGAGAGAAGCACCACAGAAACCCTCTTGCTGCCCGGTATGGCTTGGCTAGATTCGGATTTGATAGCCCACTTCATTCAGAGTGCTGAGGTCAGCCACCTTCTTTTCAGGCAGAGCAGGTCTAAAGTTAAAAGACAGGAAGATGGTGGGAGAGAGGGGACAGGGCAAAGAAAAATAATGAGCATCTTCAAGGGCCTCTACTCAGAGTTCCTGACCTTTCTGATCCTTGTCTTTTTCCACCTTCCACCCCCACTCTACCAGCCTTAGCTCCCAATTCTGGTTCTTGTTCTTAGGTCTGCTTTTATAGGTTTTAAGGAACATTCTAGCAGGCTTTTAATGTAGAAATCAAAAATTTTCAGGGTGTTGAATGAACTTTTTCAGCTGTAAGACAATGGAGTCCCATGATAACTTTTGAAACCCAGTTCCGCTATACATTGCAACTGTCTAAAAAGTCACATATGCCACAGACTGAAAGTGGAATTCTCCTGGAAACTGATTTCCTAGCGTTTGTGTCTCCAAGGAAGCTCAGATATTACAGGGTGACTCAGGTGACCCAGATTCTGGGAGAGGATCCCAGTTACCATTGACAGAGGGTTTATATTCCAGACTTGAATATATAAAATCAAGGTGAATTTTTCAAAATTTATCTGAAAAGAACATGTCATTATGGAAGTTATTCAGTGGCAAAGCATGTCTCTTTCCTAAGAAACATTCTCTAAAGTACTTTCCAATATCAATATAAAACTATGCCTATGTATTTATGTAAGAAAGTACTTGAAGCTGGGGGGAGGTGGTAGAAATCACTTAGTAGCACATCATCTGTTGTCATTAAAGACATTTTCTAAGTGACTTTCTAATATAACAGTGCCTAAGCCTTTTTGTGGTTTATCTTGCAATTTTTCCTATTCCTAATGAGCCTCTTTCTCACCTTGGATAAGAAGTAACCAAGACTATAAACCAGCTTTGGGATGTTTAATGTCTAGTGATTTCTAATCTAAAAGCTTCACATTTGGTCATTTTTACAAAAAAAATATTTTAGGTTACATATGAACCTTGTTCATAATTATAAAAAATAAAATATAAATGTAAAAAATTTCTTAGTTTATACCTTTGAAAGTTTTCCTAACAGCAAATGGTTTTCCCCTGGCAGGAAGATAGCCCAGTTTATTCACCTAGAAATAAACTTCCAGCTTCAGTCAGCTCAGCTCAATGAATGGTGTTAAGCACTGCCAATAAATTCTGTACTTCCCTTCTTGACCTTATTAAGTCCATGACCCTTCTTCTCTGAAACTTGACTTCAGAAACGTCCCTGACTTGGAACTTGGCCCCACTAAAAAACAAAAAGTGTAATCTTTATTTTCTCTGTATTGCATGGGCTTATTTCTCAGCTAGACCACATGTCCTGCTTTATCAGTCAAGATCCATGCCTCCTTCTTCTTTGTGTCTTTTATGGTTCCTGGGGCTCACCCACAATGCTAATAAATACAGTTGACTGCTGGTAGAATACCAACACTGTGTGTAGACTCTTGCTTTTTTTTTTTTATCAAAGAGCCCAAGGTTTCCAGTCCTCAGCCATTCCCTTTAAATAGGACCACTACCACAGGCCTGAAGAGTGGCCTCCAGTTCCCAAGTGAGGGCCCTGCTTGGGTTGACAGCTAAAGGAAACACAGTTTTGCTTGAGGATTCAAACTTAGATTTCTGCCCTAGTCCTCAGCCCGCTGATGTGGAGAGAACTTTGGTTCTTACAAATCAGGTTTAAAGGGTCCATATATTTTTTGTTCACTTTGTCAGAAAGCCTGAAGTGAAGCCTCTATTATGTCTCCTTGCCTGAGATGATATCTTTACAAACAGCTAATTTGAGACTTTCTCCCTCAAAGCATTCTCTCCATACATTAGTATCAGTCTAAGACACGTGTTCAGAAAGGTAAGTCAACTTCTCACCTTCCTGGCATGTTCTACTCTTAAGAAAATTCAGTAATAAAAAATACACTTGCCCAGGGAGAAGCCAGAAGTATGTATATGCAATTCATTACTTTAGAGAAGGAATAAATAAAAGTAATTTCCTAAAGCAACTAAAATATGGACACCACTTTTTCTGGTGGTGTAACTATGAAAAAGCACATTCTCCTCATCCCAATGGAAACTGCATTTGTAATAGATGATTTTTTAACTGATGTTTTCAATGATCTGTGTGTGGCAGCCTTAGTTGCCCCTCAATATCAACTCTCCCCTTTGTGAGAAATCCCCGCCCCCAACTTTTAGCTGAACACCTGGCTGCCTAGAATACAAACTACATCCCCTAGTCTTCCTGTAGCCAGCCTGGGTTTGGCTGACACACAGCCAATGAGATGGAAGTGGAAGTGTGTGGCAGTCGGCTACCAGGTCTCCTCTTAGACAACTGGCATGTGCCTTTCATCTTTTTATTTCCCTCTAACTTCCTGCTGAGGACAATGTGGAAGTGATGTGGAGCTTGAACCTCAAGTTGGTCACTAAAGAAGTCAGAGCAGTAAGAAGCCCCATACCACTTCAGTTGAGCTGCTTTCATGTAATAGGGAATCTTGTAAGTCATCATCTCCAACCCCGCATTATCCACAGCTAAACCTGATCCTTGTTGATACCATTTCCCTCCATTAACCCAAAATTGCTATACACACCCAATGCTGGTAACAATGGGTGTTGAGTCAGCCTGAGGAAGGTTAGTGTGTGGAGTTAGAACTTGTTCCTAGCAAGTTATAATTCCACTCATGAGAAATGGTGGTACCTAAGTGAAGTCAGGAGACACACTCCCTTCTCAGGGTCAGTTGTCTTCCCTGTAACCCTGCTAAACAATGTAGGACCTAAGTCATGGTGGCTCCTTGGGTCTCCTGTTGTCCCTGGAAAGTAAGCAGTTCCTATGCTTAACAAGAGAATCCCTTGCTCCAGAGTCCTTGCCCAGCCTACCACTGATTGAACCCTGGGCCTCAAGCAGGGCAAGCATGTGCTCCCTACCAGTGAGCTACAGCCCCAGCCCTAGAACCTTTCAGGTACATTATTTTTGTGGTACTGGGAATTAAACCAGGGTCATACAGATACTGGCAAGCATTCTATCACTGGACTACAGCCTCATCCCTTTTCATTTTGTTTTGAGACAGGGTCTGAGTTGTCTAGGCTGCCTCCAACTTCAGCCTCCCAGATAATCAGGATTTCCGGTGTGCGTCACTATGCCCAGCTCAAGTGCACACTTTCTTTCTGGCCTGGCATCATTCTCAATACCAAGATGCACCTCTCATTCTGAAGCTAAATAAGTTGCCCTTCATGTATGAAAATACTGCCAGTAAGATGCTAGCTTAATATTTTCCAGGTATTGAAATAGATCTATACTGGCTGTTCACTCCCAGTCCTGTGCCCAACAGCATCTCCTGGGAAGTCAGTGGCCAGAACAGGCTACAGGACAGGATCAATAAGACAAAGTTTGCCCCCTGGTTCCTGAACTGTGGGCTTGCTGTGTCTACTGTAGCTAACTGGCCATAGGCCACCACAGAGAAGTCACTTTTTGGCCAGTCACTTTGGAGCTCCTCAGACCTGAGGAACAGGATTTTCACCATACTTTTCACAGTTCATGAGTTCCTAAAATTTCACTCTACTTTTATCCAGGTTCTGTTATTGGCACATCTGAAAATAGATGAAATTTAGTTTGCGAGTTTTTGGCCTCCTTTTTCTAGATCTTTCCTTAGCACTTCCACCAATTCCCCTGTGTCTTCCAGGAGCCAAGAAATCACTTATAAATAGCTTGAATCTATCAGGCACATACAACGTGCCAGGCACTGTTCTATGAGGTTGGGCTTATTAATTCTCATCATAACCTACCAAGGTTGATACTGTTACTGTCTCTTTTATAGAAGAGAAAGCAATGAAGTTAGGGAATTTGCTCAAGCAGAGTCACACCACTGGCCAGGGTTGGTCGCCAGAACCTGCAGCCCATGCCTTATGAGCAAGCTGCCCCACCCCACCCCCACCCCAATCAAAGCACCTGAGGATGCCATGGCCACTCTTGCCTCTGCACCTTGGCCTATTTGGTCCTGTCTGAAATGCCCTTCCCCACCCATATCTTGTCATCCCTACAGGTCCAACCCAAATGCCCCCTATTCCATGAAGTATTTCCTGACAATTCACTATTTGCTGTTTCTTACATTCATCTGTTCAAGAATCCTGCTGATTCACAATCCTTGTGCCTTGAAAACTGAAGGATTGAGAGCAGGGTCCAAGTAAATTCATCTGTGAGTCCCTCTGTTGAGTATGTACCTCCCTCTCCAGCCTAATGTGTAAATGGCTGATAGGGCCTCATACGCTACTTTTATCATGTAATATCTTATTTGAACAAGTCCTAAGCCAGGAATTCAAGTTACCAGGACAACATCTGAAGAATTAACAAGTAGGAAGATTTTTTCTTCTGTATTAGAGAGGCTTTATTCCTCAAAGTCATGTAGGGAACCTGCCTACTCAGTAAGCTGACTATGTCTGTAATGACAGACAGCTTGTGTACTCCTAAAGGAAAGTGACAAGGTGTCTCCTCCCTTTGTATTCCCACCCTGCCTGCCACCCCTGGACCTCCAGATCCAGGGGAAGAAAGGCTAATTCTGGTGGAAGAAGAGCGAGGCTGAGATTCCTGGTGAACTGCCCGGGAGATGAAACCCTTTCCTTTCACAGTGGCAGTGACTGCAGCTTCCTGGTCTGGCAAAGGATAGAAGTGGGTTATCACAGCATGCCACCTGCCTGTTGGGTGCAGCCAGAAATAGCGCTCAGTCCTCGCCAGCTCATCTCAGGGCCAGAGCTGGGGGAGCTATGGTGTGTGTGGAGGCCTCTTCCAGTGCTCCCCCATTTATAATTAGAATATTGCCAAGGGGTTATTTTTAAGAAACACGAACACCAGGATGATGATTCAGCTGAGTCTGTGCTTGCCCAAAACCTCTCATCAGATCCCGGGTTATTTTAGATTGAACATTGTTCTCCAGGCTCATTCCCAGTCCAAACATGGCAAGGGAATCAAAGGATTTCCCTTCTGCAAGGCTCTGGAGCAGCATTCTGTTTCAAGGGGAAGGGGTGACACTCTGTTTGCTTTGACTCCCTTTGTGGGAGGAACAAGGGGCCCAGCCTCATCTGTTCTCACATAAATGTGAGAGTAGGGTGAACTCAGGCAAAAGCCTGATGGCCCATCTGGTCTACCCTTAACCCTGACTGTGGGTTGGCATCCCGGGAGCCAACAGGTCAGAGGCTGAGAGGGGGAGGACAGTGTGGTGGTTCCACAGAGAAGGTATTATGTGGACAACACCTCTGGGCTGCTCTTGCCCACTGCTACTTGAGCTTTGACAGTGGCACACTGAGTCCTTTGCACACCAATCAGCACGGTCTAAGTACTGCTACCCGTGAGGCCACAAGAAGCCTCATGAGGGCAGCATGTTGGGGACTGTGGGGACATCACCACATCCTAGGGCTTAACATACAAGGAGGTGTGTGTCCCCTTGAGGCTGGGTTTAAGAAAAGATGTGGGCTGGGGCTGGGGCTCAGGGGTAGAGCACTCGCCTGGCTTGCGTGAGGCACTGGGTTCGATCCTCATCACCACATAAAAATAAAATAATAAAACAAAGCTATTGTGCCCACCTATAATTAAAAAATAAATATTTAAGAAAAAAGAAAAGAAGTAGTAAGTGGAAGGAAAGCTTATAGGACTCCCAAACCCCCAGTCTCTCTTCTACCCTCTGACAAGGGGCTGTGTGTGGCACACATGCTGGCAGGACCCACCCACACACACACATTCAAGAGGACCAGTACCGCCGTGTCACATGCAGACCTGGGATTCCTGGAAGGGATGCATGGTAAAGGTGCACCCTAACATTAACCCCTTAGTCCTCCATGTTAAGGGTGCTACTGGCCCAGCATTTACAACTGTAAACAGAAACCCCATGCCCTCCTCTCCTGTCAGGTCTGACAGGAATCAGATCAGGCCAAACCCCAATTTAGCATTTATGGCTTATCTGAGTAGGCCCTAGAGAAACATGGAGTCAGTTGGAAGAACACTGGGAGGGCAGAGGGGTCCATTCACACCTGTCACCCTCATTCAAGACCAGTCCACTCCTCCCTCACATTCCTTGCTTCCCAGGATGTCAGGCACCACCGTTGGCGGCTAATGGGGCAGACAGCTGAGGTTGTTACGTAAACAGGGAGGCCTTGCCAAGACAGAATGGGCCCATCCCTTACGCCCTTCCCAGGCAGGAGGCTCTGGCCAGAGTTCAAGAGCCACAGGCCACTGTCTGAAACTCCACAGCACCACTTCCAGGCTCTGATGTTACCTCTCTTTTCTGTGACCCAGAATCCCAGCTCCAGGAACCCTGACCCTGTGTGACCCTGCAGAGCTCACAGAGGTTCTTGGCTCACTCTGCCTGACCTGATCTGTCCTGATAAGGCCCACCGCTCCATCTTGGTTTCTTCAAGTGTCCCTAGGGACCCCGGGTCATATGAAATCCTATGAGGAGCTAATGGGTAAGTCATTTGAGTAGAGACTGCTCTGTTCACATAATCTGGGAAGTTTGCTTTTCCTCCCTAGTTTTCTTGTTTTTTTTTTTTTTTTTTTTAAACTCTGTTCTAAGGAAGTGTTCTTTCTATCCTGGGAATGTTTTCTTGTCTGGGATCTGAGGAGAATGACTGCACTGAAGGATCCTATTCAAAATATCTTCAATGTGGGCTGGGGTTGTGGCTCAGTGGTAGATCATTTGCCTAGTATGTGTGAGGCCCTGGGTTCGATCCTCAGCACCACGAAAAAATAATTAAAATAAAGGTATTGTGTCCAACTACAACTAAAACATATTTTAAAACAATATCTTCAATGTGATTAAACCACAGAATCAAACTCATTCTCTATGACTTCATAAACAGCCTCTGTCCTCATTCACCCTGAAGCCTAGAGATGTGTAATCCTCCCTGAAAGAATGAAGCAGGATTTGCATTGTCCAACTGTGACCCTGTGGCCAAGGGACCTTATCTTGAGGTGAGGCTTGGTAACCTCTGGGACCCAGAGGGTCTCCCATCGGGTGAGCAGAGCCCACTAGAGCCACAGATGCCAGGGAGGATGATGAAGGAGGGAAATCAAAAAGGAAGAAACAAAAATAGAAGAAGAAACATGAACAGGGGAGGGACAGAGGAGGGGAAAGGAGCCATATGGAGAGAGAGAACAAAGAGGTTCTCTTGGGTCCTTATGGACACTGGCCCCAATGAAGAAGACTCTCCCTTGTGGTCACTCCAATGGGAGGTGCTCCCTACTGCCAACATAGCCAGCCAAGCCAGAAAACTCCCATCAGCTCCCTCTTACACTCCCAGGCCCAGGTCCCTGGTAGCAAGCCGAGAGTTGTGACCTGTCAGAGATGGGAAGGACCTCGGGGAACATGCACGCAGGCTCAGTGGGGGCTCTACTGACACGTGCAGTGAAAGCTTGCTTATGAGGCATGGTGGTCCTGGGCCTGGCAGAGCCTTAACCATCCCTGGTCCCCCAGACCTAATGGAGAGTGTCCTTGCTTACCACCAGAGAGGCAAAATCTCCCACTGCTCATCTAACCCTGCTCTTTGCAAGCTGGCCCCAGTTGAATCGCCACTGTGATCGCCACTGAGGGACCTCTGTGAAGAGCTATGAGGGCACTGAGGCCCAGAGCTGGGGAGGAGCTGGGTTAGGTTCACAGAGGGACTTTGATACATGAACCTCAAACTCCATCACCCTTTCTAAGAACCATGGGGCGGGGGAACTGACCTTTCTCTGTAGAAGATACTTTACACGCTCCTAGGGCAGCAGAGTAGGAGAAAGGATGCATGGGTGGAGGGGCTTCCCCGTCTCCCCCTGGAAACTGTCTCAGCTGATGCTCATACAGTCATCTCCACTTACCCACCCACTCAGCTGTGTCAGCCCAGTGACACGGATCCTCCTTTTTAAAGGGATTATTCAGACAAGTGCAAAAATAGAGTGGAATTCAGTAGCTTCAGCTGTAGGGAGGAAATGGCTGGGGATATAAAGCCACTAAAATTATCCATGCATAGACAGGACCCCAAGAGGCTGATGGGCCTCTTGCCTGTTAAGGTCATTCCCATCCTTAGGGCCACTCCCACGCTGCCCTCTGGTACCCAACACATTTAAAGCTGACTTGCTGGCCTTATGTAATGCTGAAATAATAGCACAGTAAGGTCACCAAACTCTTTGTGGTGCCCACTGTCCCACGGTAGGATTCCTGGAGTTTAAACTCATAGTCATACTTGTCTCTTTCTTCCTTGCCAAAAGCAAAACCTGCTTGGTAAAGGCCATGGGCAGAAGCAGAGAAGCTGTTTCTCTGCAGACATAACTCTGGGAGCCAGAATGTGCTGGGATCTAGTCTGAGCAACGACAGAGCTGACATCTAGAGAGGGAAGGAGGGGCCTGGGGTGGGCTTCTGGTGCGTCCCACTTCTGGCAGCCCTTCTTTTTGTTCTCATCCATGTCCCTCTTTTTTCTCCCCATATCCAGTAGCCCCACAACCCCTTCCCTGGATCTGCAACTCAGAAATATCAAGGTTTAAAAGAAAATGGCAGTCAGGCACATTGGTGCACGCCTGTAATCCCAAGCAGCTCGGGAAGCTGAGGCAGGAGGATCACAAGTTCAAAGCCAGCCTCAGCAACAGCAAAGCACTAAGCAATTCTGCAAGATCCTGTCTCTAAATAAAACACAAATAGAGTTGGGGATGCAGCTCCGTGGTCAAGTGCCCCTGGGTTCAATCCCTGGTACCCACCCACCCTCCCCCGAAAAAAAAGAAAACCGGAAGGGAATTGCCCCTCCTCATCTAACTCAATCCATTTTAAACTTTAGTCAAGATACCTCCCCTCTCAAGTCTCTTTCCAGCCTCCAAACAGGAGCCCCAGCTCATATTTGACTAGTTACTGGGAATAGGACATAATGAACACGTTTTTGTCTTCTGGTTTCTTTATCTGAAAATAAACATTGTAAAACCATTCCCTGCTTACCATGTAGGATTAACGGGCTTGTGTAAAAGCAGTTCACCATTCCCAAGTCACTCTTGTCACAAGATCTAACTGAATCCTTTCAACAACCTTGTGAGATAGGCGAGGATGCATTTTTACTCTCTTTTATAGATGAAAACTAAGGTTCCCTGAGGACCAAGGATCTATCCAGCTGCACAGCCAATCTGTGGCAGAGCTGGGACTCAACCAAGACTGTGTGCACTGTCCCCGTCATGGCCAGAGGTTCAAGCAGCATTTCTCCCAGTATAATTATAGCTCAAGTGTTTGCCAGTGGATTATTGCTGGTTACTCTGGGCATCCTTGGCAGCTCTGATCTGTCATATCTTAAGTGGGTCATTATGACCTAAGAAGTAGGTGTGGAATTGCTAGTCCTGGGGCTAAAACAGGAGGGTTAGCCAAGGAAAAGGATGAGCCTGCGGGTATTTCTGATGCCACCATCCACTGATGGCAATCATACTTTTGCTGGGTACAGTTGACTACAGAGTTTTAGGAAAGTCATAAATTCTAACAATCTCATTTTATGGGTGACAAAACATATATCCAGAAAGGTTATAAGACATGCCCAAGGTCACATGTCTTAGCTTAAGTGGCCAAGCTGGTTCCAGACCCAGGTTTCCTAAATCTAGATTCAGTGCTCCTTCGGTTCTACCTGGCTTCCAGGCTGTTCCTCTAGGGCCATCTGGAGCTTGGCCCTTTGGGTGTGTACACAACTCAGAATCAGCAGGGTAAGAGTAATGGCGGGGATGTGCCTAGTGGATCCTTTTCTATATTTGACCCTTGATTGAGGATAGTTCTCTTGGGGATCATTGTCTGTTCAAATGCCAAATCCAGGACACAGCTTTGTCACCATAGGCTAGGACAACCCCACAAATGTGTGTGCTGAGCCTCGTGTTGGGGAAGAGGAATATTACTCACGACTTGTCTCGCCTGCCAAGCCTTCTTGGGGGGCTTGCTTGTCTCCTTCGGGGGGACAGGGATTTTCCCCGGGTTCTCACTTGGGTTGGAGAGCGGGCACTTGCAGGTTTCAAGATCTGGAGGAGATACGAGGCATCAACCACACTGTTTCCTAAAGGACCCCCACCCCATATCCTCCTACAGCACAGCATCCCAACCCCCAGCCCACCCATGATCCCACAGTTCAGGTGCACCGACAGGAAGACTTCCAGAGCGACACACATTCCTCCCTGCACTGACAAGAAGGGCACCGCTTCCCAGAGAGCCATGTGGGTCATCACATCCCCTTTTCCATGGCAGACAGGGGAACTGAGTTAAATGCCTCGCCCTCCTGGGGCTGCTTGGTCTCTAGGTAAGATTCTCTGCTCAGGTGCACTGCCTCAGGGACCAGCATGTTCGTCCTCAGAATCTCCCAGCCCAGGTACACAGAGTGGCTGCAGTTTATCAAAAGCTCCACTCCAGGGCCAACAGAGTGAAGATGGCAGGCCCCCAGGTGCTGAACATAACCAAGCCTGAAGTTAGCATAACCCCTACCCCAGGACTTTAGTGTGTGCAGGGGCTTTTCTGTAGTGACCCCACAAGCCCTGGAGGGACATGGATAAGCTGGCATCAAGTCACTGCAGAGAAACCTGGAAGAGGGAAGAAAGGCTTATAGGTATGTTCTATCTAAGGCCTGCCCCGTGAACACTCCCTCGTTGGCTATTGTGACGCCTGATTAGAATTTTATGTCAAAGGGCTTTGCAATTTAGATGGCAGACCAAAGACGTAATGTGACTCTGAAACACATCATAAAGCAGGGAGACCAACTCTTCCTGGTTTCCCTGGGTCTTTCCTGGTTTGTTTTGTTTGGGTACCAGGGAATGAACTCAGGGGCACTTCACCACTGAGCCACATCCCCATGCCTATTTTGGTTTTTATTTGGAAACAGGGTCTCACTGAGTTGCTTAGAGCCTCACTTTTGCTGAGGCTGGCTTTGAACTCATGATCCTGCCTCAGCCTCCCGAGCTGCTGGGATTACAGGCATGTGCCACTGCACCGGGCTCCTTTCCTAGTTTTTTTTTTTTTAAGTTGTAACTGGACACAATGTCTTTATTTTATTTATTTATTTTTATGTGTGCCGAGGATCGAACCCAGGGCCTCGCGCGTGCTAAGCGAGTGCTCTACCGCTGAGCCACAATCCCAGCCCCTCCTTTTCTAGTTTTAATATTGAAAAACCTGTCCTGGAAAACCATTCAGTTCCAAGCACACTGGAACAATTGGCCACCCTACTGTATGGTGAAAACAGAACAAAACTAGAGCTTTAATGTGAAATGACTACATTTTACATCTGATTTCACAGAAGAAATCGCAGGCCAAGATATTGCTTTAATTTTAAGATCTAATTTGGTTTTCGTTCTGATTTTTGAGAAACAATTGTCCTCTCGATCCTAGAGGGGACTGGTTCTAGGAACTCCACAGATTACCAAAATCTATGGTGTAGTATTTGCATATAGCCTACACAATATTGTAGTATTTGCATATAGCCTACAGGTACTTTAAATTACTTGCAATACCTAACACAATGTAAGTACTATGAAAACAGTTGTTACACTGTATTGTTTAGGGAATAATGACAATACACAGGTCTGTATACATTCAGAACAGATGTAATTTTTTCCCAAATATTTTTAATAAGGTTGGTTGAAACTGCAGATGCAGAACCCACAGGTATGAAGGGCCAACTATGTTACATACAAAGAGAGACTTCAATTGTCTTTATCAAGTAATAAATGACTTATATTTCTGAATTTACTAGTGTGACCACCAAGCAAGATAACCTCAGGAAACTTGTGTGACCATCCTAGAAGTTTGAGGCCTGGAGCAAAAGGGGTAGAGGTGCGGGTACGGAGAGAGAGGAAATGGGAAAAAGGCATAAATTTGTGTTGCCAGCACCTACCTTCATTCTCATGTCCCTGGCGTACTTCTCCAGCTCCTTCCTTATGTCAGCCCTCAACATCTTGGAGACATTGAGGACCAGCTGCTTCCACTCAATGGGTTGGAAGCTATGAGGCTCATGGGGGACATACAGCCCAATCTTGACCTTCTTGACTGTGTGCAGGTATTTCTTGTAAGAGTCTTCAAAGTCAAAGATAAGGTCACTCAGAGTCCGAAAGGTCAATGGCTTGTCCATCAGCTCAGCCCTTCTGCTCATGCCCAGTGAGCCATAGCGGCCATTGCAATAAATCCCCAGCACAACATGGTGAAAGTAGTTTCCTGAGAAGTAGGTTTTAAAGCTGATGGGGAATCGCTCGATGGAAGGCTGTCCATTGGTTAAGTATCTTAGACGATTTGAGTCAAGGAAGGAACAAAGGTCTTGAAAATTCAAAGAGGACAGACTCCCAAGAAAGGAAAACAAACTCATAGGGGTCAACGAGCCTATACTTCTGCCTCTGAGCAGGCCGACATCTAAGCTTTCTAGATCTTTTGATAAAGGATCCACTTGATATCTTCAAGTATCAACTAAATGGTACATACCAAAACAGAATTAATATGGGACAAAGAGAACAGCTTGCCATCTTTAGTAATTAAATGGAAAACAAAAAAATGCAAAACATAACATGAAGGCACTTTTTCCTTGCTTGGTTCTCTACGGGGGATTAAGAGCTCTTCGAGGTGTCTTTGTTTTTCTTCTTCTTTTATGCAGTCAGAATGATGTGCTAGACTACCTTGTGTGAAATAGACCAAGAATACGCTGGAGTCCAAAGTGAGAAATGAAAACCAGAATCCAGGCAATAGAGATGTGAGAGGCAGGCTGGTGGATGATCTAGATGGCAAGGGCCAGAGAAAAGTCATAAGGGGTCAATATGTACCTCATCTGGTCCTCCCAGGCCCCGGAGTACCCATGCCAGAGGGTACTCCTGGGGTACCATGCAGAGCAGCTGCCTCCACACCCAAACTCCAAGGCTCCTCTCAGTCCCCAGCCAATAGGCAGGCTCTCTCCACTCACTGGCCCATTTGGATTTAATAACAGTCTCTTATTGTTACCTTGGTTTTGACCTAGCAACTCCACAGGTGCAGCTTCAAATAATGGTCCCACTGCCTCCCTGTACAGAAACAATGGACAAGAGACATTGCATTCTCAAGTCCATCTTGAAATCCCAACCAGTCCTGCTGAGGCTGTGAGTCCCTCTGCCCAGCTTTTCTGGAGAGGGCTATTGAAAACTCCTCTGAAAGGCAGGGGGATATAATGTCACTCCTCTGCTAAAAAGATTTGGAAAATACTAATCCAGGTGCTCATCACAGAGTCCTGTGCATAGTCAGTGTTCATAGCAGGTGCCATTCTCCACTCTAAGAATGTGTTTTCACTAATGCTGGCCTCCTCTCCAATTCCATGCAGTGGCCAGAATGACCTATTTAAGTCAAAATTTGGTATATGTCACTCTTCCACTTAAAAGTTTTCAATGACTCATCTTCTCCAGGACATAGTCCACATCCTGCCACGATTTGACCCCTGCTCATTACACCTTTATACAATCCCATTTCCCCCCTACCCTACCCTAGCTATAACACTGATGGACAGGAGGACCCTTGATAGCTCCGTGGTAAAGTGCTTGCCTTGTATGTGTGAGGCACTGGGTTTGGTCCTCAGCACCACATAAAAATAAATAAAGATATCATGTGTCCATCTACAACTAAAAAAAAAAAATTTTAAGAAGTTAAAAAACAAAACAGAATTAACATATGATCCAGCAATTTTATTCTGTCCCCCCAAAGCTTATTAGATTACGAGAGCTGTGACCTAATGAGTGGATTAGTCCATTTGATGGATGAATAATTTGAAAGGACTATCCACCTGAGTGGTAACTATAGGCAGGTAGGGTGTGGCCGGAGGAAATAGATCACTAGGGGTCCCTGGCACCTCTCTGTCCTCTCTCTCTTCCCTCTCCTCCCTCCCTCCCTCTCTCTCTCTCTCTCTCTCTGTCCTTCCTGGCTGCCATGAGCTGAGCAGCTTTCCTCCACCATGTCTTGCCTCACCTGGGGTCTAAAGTAATGGAGCTGACCAGCCAGATACTGAACCCCTGAAACCACAAACCCAAACATACTTTTCCTCCTCTAAACCGATGCCAAGTAGTTTGGTCACAGCAATAACAAGCTGACTGATATCATTTAGTCACAGTACCCAAAAGAACTGCAACCAGGGTTTCCAGACATCTGTACCCTGAGGCTCACAGCAGCATTAGTCACAATAACCAAAGTGGAAACAATCCAAACGTCCACCAATGGATAAATGGATAAACAAAATGTAGTATCTGTATAACAAACAGTATTATTCATCCTTTTAAAAGAATGAAATCCTGGGCTTGGAGTTAGCTCAATGGTGGAGAGCTTGCCTAGCATGCATGAGGTCCTGGGCTTGATTACTAGTAGCCAAAAAAAAAAAAAAAAAAAAAGAAAGAAAGAAATCTTGTAATATGCTAAAACATGAATAAACGCTTGCAGATACGATGCCAAGTGAAATAAGCCATACAGAAAAGGACACAATCTGTATGATTCCATTCATCTGAAGTGCCTAGAATAGTCAAATTCATAGAGACAGAAGGCGGATCGTGGTTGCCAGGGGCTGGAAGGAGGCAACAGGAGCTGTTTAATGGGTGTGCAGTTCCAACTGGGGTGTTGAGAAAGTTCTGGAGATGAACGGTAATAATGTCACACAAGATTACAGATAGACTTAATGTCACTGAATTATATATTTGAAAATAGTTAAGATGGTTAAACTTTGTTATATGTGTTTTACAATAAAAAAACAGGACCAGAACATGATGTCATACCTGCCGTAAGAGAGGCAAGCCTAGTAATCTGTGGGTGGACAGAAGTGGAGCCTCAGCACAGCAACACTGGAATTAGTCTTGGAGGACAAGTATTCAGCTAGGTAGGGAAGTGGGAGTGGGGAGGAGGCTGGAGAGACCACTAGACCACCCCATCACAAGTCACCGATCTCCAGGATTTGTTCCATCATTATGGCAGTCAGTGAAGCCTTGGATGAGAGTAGGGAAGCAGCCTGAGTTTTTCCTTAGGAAGGAAAATAGCAGCACTCAAACCTCTGGATAATCTCCTAGCACCTTGTGTCTGGGGAAATGCTGAGGCTACCTCTCATATCGCACCTGTAACTTTCACAAACCATGGTTCTTTAGCACCATGAGCAAGCCTACCACAGTCGGTGAAGCCCTCTAAAATTGTTGCTATAATTCAGAAAATAATTTAGAACCAAAGATCTGTGTATCCAGCATGCATGTAAAAGTATATGTATATGTGCTTCAGCAAGATTTAAAAAAAAAAAAAAAGTGGCTCTTTGGGAGAAAATCCTGAACTTGGGAAAAAAGTACAAAAAGAAAACAAGGCAGAAAATGTCAAGGGACACAGTGTGCAGCCAAATAGACAGTTTCTGAGTCATCCAGGTCTTTTCCTGGACCTGCACAAGGGTCTGCGGGAGACACAGGTGATGCCCAAGCCATCCTTCACTATCCCTGAGGGCAAAGCAGGACACAGAGATGCTGACGCACAGCAAAGAGAAGACAAAGATGCTGCAACTTTTAGAATTTAGGTCTGTGTTTCTTGTCTGCGTCCCAGAGTCAGATTTCACTGTGTTCAGCAGTGTGAGCTCAATCTCTCCACCCTCCCCACCTTCCCTGGACTGTTCTGAAATGTAACACGGATAAGAACAAAGGAAAAGCAAGAGTACAAGCCCAGAAGTTTTGTCACAGATCTATTCCCTGCAATCCCCAAAGATTGCAGATAATTTCAGTGACAGGGAGCTTAGATGCAGAAAACTGTGCAGGAGTGTGGGGAGGAGGGGCGGATAACTATATGCAGGTGCACTTAGATATCCAGCAGCAGAGCCTGAGGTTAGCTCATCCATCCAGAAAAGGGCCTGGGCTAGTGTTCTTCACTGATCTCCACCAGATCCCTGGCCAATTGTTCGCCCCTATTAAACTTGCAAGAGGCTCTGCTAAACAGCTGTGGCTCATTCCTGTCACTAAAGAGTTGGGGCCCTCAGCCATCTGTTGCTCTGACCCTCAGCCCTGGCCTCCTGCTGAGCTCCCCAGGCACACATTTCATCTCCTTTGTGGGAAGCTGGGAGCAGGCATCATTGCATAGCTGGGGAGGGGCCTCCAAGAGGCTCAAGTTTCTGGGGTTTTTTGTTTTGTTTGTTTGTTTCAGAAGTCCGCCAAGGCACCTGTGCACAATCTGGTTTCAGATCAGACCTTCCAGTGCTCCACAGACAGCAGAGGCAAGAAATTCCCCCTCCCATGACAATGTCCAAAGACATTCCCCCTCCCATGACAATGTCCAAAAACAGACTAGACCAATCCCGTGTCCTGCTGATTGCTAGAGCTCCTTTCTCTTCTGCCTTTCCTTTGACCTCCCTGACTTCCCCTCTTGAGTCTCTCTCATAAGTTCTTTGCATCCAACTAGACCAAAAATACTGAGATTTTTGTCCTTGATCATTTTCCCTTCTAACGTCTTGAACAGCAGCTACAACCCCCCAAATATCCCAGCTCCCAAATCAGTATTTCTAGTGTAGATCCTCCTAGTGAGCTCCACTCTCCAAACAGCCCATCCTGCATCCTGAATTCAATGCCTCAAACTCAGCTAGTCCAAATCTGAACTCAGGTCCCCATAAATCTGATCCTTCCCTCTAAGTCCTTCCCTTGGTGTGTGACCCTATTTATTATGCAAGCCAGAAATACAGGGTTCCTGCTTTCTCATTTAGCTCTTCACTTCTCAGCAGTTCACAAGTGTTGGTTCACTTCCAACCCCTTCCCTCCTCCTTCACTGCTACTTCCTGAGTTCAGGTCTGCACTGAAGTGAAGTATCCACTTCTCTGTCACTCTCACCCCTCCAGCCCATCCTCCACACACTGTCACCCAATCAGGAAACCTGTATTTGTTGATTGCTTATTAAGTCCTGCATTCATCTAGTCTCCAAGTTCTGTACATTCTGCCTCCTTACCAACTCCTGAAACCATCCCCTCAACTCCATTCCTATCACCAGGGCCATGGTCCAAACATCACCCTTCCTCCTGTAATAGCTCCCAATGGGCTTTGCAGATCCAGTCCCAGCCTTCTCCAACTGTCCTTTTTCAGTCTATCCTTTAGAAGGCTACTCTCACCTGGCACACGCTTGTAATAGTAGCAGCTCAGGAGGCTAAGGCAGGAGTCACAAATTCAAAGCCAGCCTAAGCAACTTAGAAGACCCTGTCCTAAATTTAAAAAAGGACTGGGGATGTGGCTCAGGGGTTAAGCGCCCCTAGAACCAAATAAAATAAAATAGAAAGCTATTGTCTAAAAAGTACGTAAGATCATGTCACTTCTTTGCTTCAGAACTTCCATCTGAGCTGTCCACTTCCTTTTAGGAAAAGATAACTTCTCAGTACAGCACACAAGGACCCAACTGGTTCCCCCATCTCTCAAGCTCATATCTTACTCTGTTTCCTTTGCCACCATCCCTTCCAGCCATCCACCCAGAGAACTTGGAGTTTCTTTGCTCTTCTATCTGATCATGTTCAATTACCATCAGCACCAATAAGTGTCATCACGGTTTTTCTGGACTGTACTCCTCTCAGGTTGAAGAGCCAAGAGTGTGGTGGAAAATGGAACAGAAAGTGTGAGAGAGACCAGACCCTTGTGCCAGCTGTGTTCCATCAAGTGGGAACGCACTGCCTCTGCTTGGTCTCCTCCACAATCTGCCCTTACGTTTTCCTTGGAGATGGTTTTGGCGACTAGCCCTCTTGTTACTGATTCCACTTTCCCTTGAGTGTTTTTCCTGTGACAATGTCAAATTAATGCAAGAAAGAAACATTCTCTTTCTCTCTCTCTAGTCCCTCTAAGTTAGAATTCTCCTTGTGACCAGGGAACCTGCAACCCCACTGGCCTGAGAGCCAGCCCTCATAGAGGCTAGAGCTAACAGTTTTGACTACTGTTGGTCCAAGAAGCCAAGCATTGATTTGGTTCAACTCCCAAAGTAAAAGCTAAAGAGAAGCACCAGAGTTTGATCCCTTCATTCAAAGAGAAATGGGCATCATCTCTGTTAATTAAAGATGTTGAAGGTGCAACAAGCCCCATAGTTAGGTCACCATCTGTGCAGTAACTGTAAGCATACATAACTTCAAGGATACATGCCCAGGATGACAGCTTCAAGGCATTTGATAGGTAAGGACTCTCGGGTCATTTCTTTCGCTGTTTCCATTAACCTGTAGGATAGAACACAGCAAAGGATTCTCAGGACTTAATTATGCAGTAGTCAGTCTGTCTATCAATTCATCAGCATGCCTGTCTCTACCCTAGGCACCATGCAGGAATATAGGGGAAAGAGAGAGCTTGATTCACAGGAAGACACCAAAGCGTATCTGCACTTGGCAGAACTAAAACCCTCAATTCTCCACTCTCTTCTCCAAGAGTTACATCCCGGAGGTGAGTGCCAGTATTCCATGGCACATTCCCAATGGAACAGGCAAATGAGGCCTCAGAAAGTGAATCTTACAAGCTTCCAATGCAGAGAGTCAGACTTCACCACTAGACATAGCAGTTGGAGTGGTTCAGTCCTCAGCCCCACCTTCAACCTGGGCCCAGGGACACCCTCTACATATACCCCCAACTGATTAGGATATCTGAGCACCAGGATATAGGACTAGAGGTTGGGAGAGGGAATTGGCAGCTCTTTTTGGTAGGAGAGAGAGAGGGCATCTGGCCCACAGATCATGCACCACTTACCCACTCAGCGGTCTCATTTTCCTAATTTCAAAGAACTGGGTCCCTGTGTGATTATATCTGTGTAAAGTATGTAAAGGAAAAGTAACAGAAAACTCCAAAGATCCCAGTCACCCAGCAGAGGAAAATATGCATTCTGATTTCTCAATGGGGTTAAACAGCAGGAGCTTTTCAAAAATAGACAGTAGCCAGTAGCCTCTAATTCTTCACTGTCCTGTCATAAAGTTTAATCTAATTTTTAACTTAGGTCTCAGAGAACCTTGGACCTTTGTAAGCTCTGTTAAATCCTGATTAGTTTTATATATATATATATACACACACACACACAATCTTAATTTACCTACTATACTACAAGTTCTTTGAGAGTTGGGACTGTTCTTTTATCATCTTTATATCCCCATAAAGCTTGGCAGAATCCCAACATACTTAAGTTAGCAAATTTTATTAAATGACTAAGGAAGAAGTGAATGAATAGATGAATGGAGAGATTGATGAAGGGATGTCAGGAGAGAAGGGTGAAATGGAAGGATGCACGGATGGAAGGATGAAAGATGGATGGAAAGATGGATGAATAGGTGGAATGGAAGGATGGATGGAGGAAAGGAGGATGGATTCAGATGCATGGATGAAATGGAATGAAGGGTAAATAAATGGCAATAAGTTTTTTAATTGCACACAGACAGAATGCAACAGAGTTTACTCTAGAAACATCACTTTCATGGCTGCACTGACACTTAACATTGATGACTAAACCTAAAAAGATGGCACCACCATCCACATCTAGAATTTAGCCAGCTACCCAGAAGTTCCCAGGAATTGGTAAACCTGCACCAGGTGACTCTGGAGGAGATCAATTATTTCCTAATGTTCTCTGAGTCTGGATCTTGATTTTTCTCACTCTATGGAAAAATCGCTTTGTGTGTTTGGCTTTTTTGCCTCAAACCAAATCATAGAAAAAGTGTGTGTTGGGAGGGCACTAAGGAAGCAGGAACACGTAGAGCTACTGCAGCCCAGGAAGGACTTGTGGGACAGATGCACCCCTGAGTGAAAAAAGCAGCTGCAGAGGAGACACTTCACACCCTCCTGAGAGGGGCTGGGGTCCCTTCCAGCACCAGTGTGTTTGGCCTCTCGGACACAGGCACATGTGACAACCATCTGGGGAGCTCAAAAGCAGACTCTAGGCACCAACCCTGGAAACTGTGATTTCAGGCCATGCCTCTTAACCATAGTTGCCATTCAAAGTCACCCTAACTCAGATCACTGAGTTCAGAGCTGCAGGGTGTGGGGCAAAGGACAGTTTTCACGAACTCACCAGCTTGGGAGTTACTGACTAGGCTGTGAGATTAACCACGAACAATACAGGCTTGGTGGCATTTCTGAAAACACCATGTACAAAATATTAGAGGTAAAAGAGAAAATGAGGGACTAAATATTCTCATTCTAAAGTGATTTTTTTTTTACTTAAACCAAAGATTTACTCAAAAAGTGGGGTTCCCAGTAAATATAAAGAATTCAATTGGCAAACATGCAGCTATATGCTCAACTTTCCCTGTTTATATATTTAATGTATACATCCAGTACATAAAGTAAGATAAACTGATAATTAAATAATGAAAAACTACCTGACCACCCTTCTCTCAGTTCTTTACAATGGATAATTGAGACCCTGAAAGTGAATGGGTGGAAATAGTCTCCCCAGCACACTCTCTGCAGAGGAAGGTATTCATTCTCCCCTGTGCTCTTCAGAAGATTTCTCCCCATCTAGCACAGCCAGTGAGGCACCTTTCTTTCCAAATCCCATGCAAAATCAGCACACCAGTTGGCTGCCACTTGGAGGCTGTATCAGGGGAAAACAGGATTCATTTTTTCATGACTCCACAGCCAGCTGAGACCATCTATAGTCAGGTCTGGACCCAAGCAATTCCCAGAATTGACATCTGCTACAGTGTCCAGGCCAAAGTAGTAGGGGGTCCCAATGAACTAAACCAAAATCAGGTCAGAAGAAAAAGTCCATGCTTGGGCTGAGGATGTGGCTCAAGCGCTCACCTGGCATGCACGGGGCACTGGATTCGAGCCTCAGCATCACATAAAATAAAATAAAAATGTTGTGTCCAACAAAAACTGAAAAATAAATATTAAAAAATTCTTTCTCGGGACTGGGGATGTGGCTCAAGAGGTAGCGCGCTCGCCTGGCATGCGTGCGGCCCGGGTTCGATCCTCAGAACCACATACAAACAAAGATGTTGTGTCCGCCAAAAAAACTAAAAAATAAATATTAAAAAAAATTCTCTCTCTCTCTTTAAAAAAAAAAAAAAAATCTTTCTCTAAAAAAAAAAAAAGAAAAAGTCCATGCTTTGCTTTCCTGGAGTGATGGCTCCAAAGGCCAGGAGCACATCCCAACAGCCCCCTGGTGATTTTTCCTGCCCCTTCTGCCATCAGTGATCTTCTTCAATTGACCATCACAGAGGTTCAGAGAAAAGAAAAATTAAAATGCAGATCCTTCAGGGCAACAATGAAACTTAGCTGAGTACATGCTGCAGGGCTGAAGGGAACATGGGCAAGTGCTACACAAAGCACATACAATTTGCCCCCATCAATGCCATCCCAGCCCAGACTCATTCTCTTGCCTCTCTGGCTTGGTGATCCTTGGGAAGACTAAGTCCTAGATAGAAATAGAAGCCATTCTCATTTGTCACCTTTTGGAATATTTGATGAAGAGTAGGTCACCTTTGAAAAAAATCAGCTCTTGGGATTCAGGTCTACTCTGGCAGGAGTTTGTGCTTCTGGACTACAAAGAACTCCCAAGTGAACTCCCAAGTGGATCAGCAACCATACCCATAGTCTTCCCAGGGCCAGAACTGTTGACCTCCCTCTGGAGGTTGCTTCCACCTTCTCCTGCTAATATCACCGCAGGACTCCACTGAGAAAATGTCACATGGGGGAGCTGGTGATCCATGAAATGGGAACTAAGGCTAATCAAGTAATCTCTCTACCCAAATGAGCAGAAATTGGTGTTATTTCCATCTGGTAACACTCAGCCCTATGGGAGAGGTGCTGATGTTTCGTCCCTTTAGAGGAGACCCAAAAAAATCCACCAGAAAGAGTCTTGCCTATAATACAGAGAAGAGGAGGCTCTTTTGGAATATGTTGGACAGGTGCTTGGTGCTTTCTGAAGTCCTTTTGGCCTCAAGGCTGGATAGGAACAGACAAATAGAAAGCAAAGCAATGTGATGGTTTTGCAGGACAGGCTAAGTTTCATGTCTATGGAGAAAGAGCAAGGGTCAACAGAAGCTTGGCCTCCCGGACAATGTGCTGTGGCCTGCTCCCCATTGGACACCTATGCTTGGTATAATCCCAGAAGTGTCTAGAGGACCATCACTTCTGTCCCTTCGTTCCCACAGGGTTGCTCATGAGGAGCCCTCTGAACTGATCTAATCTTGATTGTCAACAAGCCGAGGACATGGAGATCAAAAAAATCTAGTTGGTCTGAACCAGCCTGGGCCCACAGGGTTCCTCAGCAATTCTTCAAGCTCAAGTCGGGGACAGGACCCCCACTGCAGAGCCCCAACCAATTTATGCAGAATCTGAGCAAGGTCACCATCCTGGATTGCTGTGGGAGCCCAAAGCAGCATGGGGTAGGTCTCTTGAGATCATGAGTGACCAGGGACCAAGGTAAATAAGTGAGAGAAGAAATAAAAGAAAAAGAATAGGGGGAAGGGGAAGAAAGACAGTTGGTTCAGTAGAGGAAGAGGGGAGGAGAGTAAGTGACCAAGAGGAAGGAAGCAGAGAAAAAGAAGAAGATGTAAGGAAGAGGGGATCTCACGGAAAGCCCAGGAAAGGGGAGGGAAAAAGAGAAGCCAGAGGGTCTGGCTCACTGTCCCCTTGCTGTTCTTGCCCACATCCTACTTAAAGGAAGAAGGGCTGATCATTGCAATTACATCCTCTGTTATCACTTTCAGACTCTCATCTGGGGCCTTCCTGTATGCCTCACCAGCCTTAAAGACCAACTGGGGACAGACGTGACACCAGACTTACAATCCCCAGACCCCCAGCCAGGTCCACTCAGATGCCAGGTGGAAGGATACTGTAGTGTCTTCATGTAATTCTGTATTGCCTGCAGCCAGTCTGGAATCGTCATCGACAGCCTGTAGTTTGGGACCTGGGGTATTGAAGGCTGTAGAGAAATAGAGAAGGATCTTTTTGTTGAGGAGATAGCTTCTGGGGGCAGGCGCAGAGCTATAACTACCAGAGAAGGAGCTGCTCCCGAGCGCAGATAACCACCCTAGCATGCTCACTTGTTCCAAGGGTGCCTCCTCCACAAGGTCTCCCCAGAATTGCCAGTGCATCATGGAAGTTCTCCCTCTATACATACTCTCTTCTGGGTCATGGGGGCTCCCTGTGGCTCTCCTGGTGTTGTGTTAACACAACTGGCCTCTCCCGTGGGAGCCTAAGCACTTCCTTGAGACCAGGGGCCATATACTCCCCACTGAGTCTGGCCCAGGTGGACACAGAAGTGCTCCATTCATGGCCACACTTTTACTGTAAAACACTTTTTTTTTTTTGGTATCAGGGACTGAACTCAGGGTAACTTGACCACTGAGCCACATCCCCAGCCCTATTTTGTATTTTATTTAGAGACAGGGTCTCACTGGGTTGCTGAGCACCCCACTTTTGCCGAGGCTGGCTTTGAACTAGCGATTCTCCTGCCTCAGCCTCCTGAGCCACTGGGATTACAGGCGTGCGCCACCACGCCTGGCACATGACACCTTTTGTTGCACGGCTAATGATGGCCCAGTTTATGGGTCATCACTCCAGGTCTTTATTTACACAGAATGCAGGTACACGGTGCCCTACAACATAGTGCTAAGGGCCCGTTCTCAATATACTTCCCTGCAACACCCATTGTATTCTGTCCCCTGAGTCCCACAACCAAGTGAATTCAGAAAGATTCCTTTTCTTGCCTTGATTCTTCCTGGACAAGTGCAGCTCCTCTGACTCATAATCCATGGAAAGGAAAACAGCAGCACCCAAACCTCTGGATAATCTCCTAGCACCCTGTGTCTGGGGAAATACTGACGCTACCTCTCATATCACACCTGTAACTTTCATAAATCATAGTCCTTTAGCACCATGAGCAAACCTACCACAGTTGGTGAGGCTCTCTGAAATTGTTTCTATAATTCAGAAAATAATTTAGAACCAAAGATCTATGTATCCAGCATGCATGTAAAAGTATGTATGTGTGCTTCAGCAAGATAAAAAGAAGTGGCTCTTCGGGAGAAAATCCTGAACTTGGGCTTTTACCCAGAGGACACCCCAGCCAATTTTGTTTCCTAGTCTACCTTTTGGTCAACACTCAAGTATATGAAGTTCTAACCCCTGCCAGGGAGAGAAAGGACCAAAGGCAAGCAAGGACTGGAAAGGGGAAGGAAAGTGCGTCTCCTGGGAAATTTAGAGCTAAGACGCCCACTCAGCTCTGAGCAACCCTGTCAAGGAGGCCAAGAGCAAGAATAAACAGAGATGTCCAATTAAGCGACTCCTGGGAAGCAAGAAATAACATATGGGCATGGTTTTGTCTTGTACGCATGTTAGATTTTTTTTTTTTTTTTTGCACTGGGAATTGAACTCAGGGGCACTCGACCACTGAGCCACATCCCCAACCCTATTTTATATTTTATTTAGAGACAGGGTCTCACTGAGTTGCTTAGCACCTTGCTTTTTGCTGAAGCTAGCTTTAAACTAGTGATTCTCTTGTCTCAGCCTCCTCAGATGCTGGGATTACAGGGTGCCTGGCATGTTAAGATTCTGCTTTGGTTTGGTTTTGTTTTATTCCCCATTATGTGTTTCTCAGTCTCCTTGCCTCTGCTGTCTGGTGGGGTAGAGTCATTGGTGAGAGGAACTATGGACCCAGGAAGGAGAAAGGAGGTTCCTTAGCCTCTTAGGAAGTAGAACTGGTTAAAAGAAAGATAGTCCCATCCATGGAGAAAACAGGACCAGGAAAGCCCTAGGATAATACTAAGCAGATAGAAGGGGAAGTTGCTGGTAAAGAGATTCAAGGACAGCCCTGGGCAGCCTGGCTGGGCAGCAGAGCCAGATGTTGCCTAGGACATTCCTGGCTGTTTCCCTGACAAGTTCCTATGGGGCAGCAGGCTCTTTCCATACTTCTGCCCCTTTGGCTACATTTACTGCAAATGTGCCTTAACCTTCATTTCCGATCTTGCCTCTAATCTATCTTGGCCTTGAGACATACTACTTCACAGCCAGTGTTCCTTCAGCTGAAAGTCACACTTTCTACCTCACAGTTAAGGATTATGTGTGAGTCCTGTGTGTATGTGTGTGGTGTGTGGCTAAGTGGCAGTACTTGCAAACACAACTGTTCTGCAAGCTACATTTTCTTTACAACATCTCAACTCAAATGAATCACATTCCTGCCTGAGAGAGTTATTTTGAGGAGCAAATGTTTCAATTTGAACACACACACACACACACACACACACACACACAGAGTCAAAATAAGAAGTGAGCAGGGTTCAGTGGTACATATCTGTAGTCCCAGCTACTTTGGAGGCTGAGACAGGAGGATCTCTTGATCCCAGGAGTTCAGTGCCAGCCTGGGCAACATAGCAAGAATCCATCTCAAAAACAAAAACAAAAGCAAAAAAAACAGGCAGGGCTGGTGATATAGCTCAGTGATAGAGCACATTCCTTGTACTAGTGAGGCTCTGGGTTCCATCCCTGGTATCACCAAAAAAAGGGTTAGGAAAGAACACTTGCATTTCTGCTCAACAAACACCAGGAAGTGTCAAGCTTATCCCTGCTTTTGTTTTTGTTTCTTTTCAGAAACATCTGCAAAAACCCATACCTGGAATTCTGGGTAAAAAAAGTGCCAGAAATTTCACAGAGAAGTAAAGAAAGAAGGGGAGATTTGAACAGACATTTTCTTAGCATCTCCTATGTTCCAAGCTCTAGGCCAGATACAGAGGGGACAGAAAGTACAGGAGCAGAGGAAGGGAGGAGGGAAATCACAGTTTATGAAGCCATGAGCATTTCTCCACAGGCAAATGCTGTTTGTACCTACTTCATGGAAAAGTTGGTAAATGTGGGGAAGTGGGAGGGTAAACCTCTTGGGAAACTGTGCACAGCCAGTGACACGGTTCAGAGTTCGCTGCAGGGCTGACCACCAAATTATTTCAACTCCCCTGAAGCTCCACAGGCTGAATGGTGGGGGTGGGAGACAGGCGACAGCTGGTCCTCAGAATAACAGCCCAATGGCGCCCAAGGGCTTTTCAAGACAGCTGCATGGTTACCTCAGCCCGGCTGTGAGCAGAGTCCTAGGGCTGCGGCCACATTTGCTCCCAGTCGGGAGGACAAATGTAGACATTCCCCAAACCCAGGCTAGGGAGCTGAGCTGTGGTGGGGAGAGGAGCAGAGACTGCTGCGGGGATGATGTCATCGGCTACAACTCACCCGACGTCTGGGAGAACTGGCGGGGGCTCAGACGAGGGGGGCAGTTTCCAGCTGGTGCCTTAGGCTGCCAGGGTTCCCATGGGACCTGGACTATAAGGCCGGGTGGGCTCTTTGGGGTATTATCACAAGACACACAATCAGGTTCAAATCTCTGCTGTCTCCTACCAGCTATGGACCCTGTTTGGAGCTGCATGACCTCTCTAAGTCTCCGCTTTCCTCCTGATAACAGAGGAATCATATCATTACCTGTTTTAAACCTTCCAGGCTGGTTGTGAGGTTACATGAGCTAATGTGTAAACATTCAAAGGTGTTAAACTGTAATGGCTCATCAACAACAGGTTCTCAGGGGTCTAGACCAGGGAGGCCTGTAGAGTCTGCACCTTTCTAGAACTTGAAAACAGAATCAGCAGGGGCCTGAATTCTCAGACACTCAGAACTTGGAATCACAAAGATGTCTTCTCACACTAATGGAAGATGAAAACACCCACATTCCCCTGGGGATGCGTGGTGACAATAAATTAATATCCTTAATTCATGAAGAGTTCATACAGAACGATAAGAAAACTCTTTAGGCCTCAATGGAAAAAAATAGAGCCCCCAAAGGTGGAAGCAACACAAGGGTCTATGGATGAATGAAAGGAATACGCACAATGTTGCACGTACATACAGTGGATAGTTATTCAGGCTTAAAAAGGAAGGAAATTTTAGTACATGCTAGAACATGGATGAACCTTGAAGACGTTTGGTAGGGGAATAACCTTGTCATAAAAGGGCAAATGTTGAGCCAAGTATGGAGGCACATGTCTGTAATCTCAGCCACTTGCGAGGCTGAGACAGGAGAATTGCTAATTCGAGACCAGTTTCAGCAATTTAGTAAGACCCTGACTCAAAATTTAAAAAAATAAAAAGAACTGGCAATTCGTGGTAAAGCTCAGTGGCAAAGCTCTCCTAGGTTCAATCCCCAGTACTGGGGGTAGGGGGGGAAGCAGGGGGCAAATATTGTATAATTTCTCTTGAATGAGGATTATAGAGTTGCCTGATTCATAGGAAGTAGAGACTGACTGTCAGAGGCTGGGTTGAGAAGGAGATGAGGAGATCGTGTTTTTAATGTGTACCGGTGTCAATGGAGGAAGATGAAAAAGTTTTGGAGATGGATGGCAGTGACATGAATGTACTTATTGCGACAGAACTGTGCACCTTGAATGGTTAAAATGGTAAATTATGTTATATAGGTTTATCACAATAAAAAGATCACAAAAAGAAGAAATGCAGAGGGAATAAATATTTGAAAAAAACATTCAAGCTCGCTAATAATTTAAGAAATGCAAATTGAAGTCCCTGCAAAATGTCATTTTCCTCTTCCCTAGATAGCAAAGACATTTTGAAATGCAAATACCCAATGCTGGTGAGGATGCTCTCACCCAGCAATAATGGAACATAAATTGGTGCGACCTTTTCAGGAAAAGCCCAGGGCACACCGTTTTTCTTCTCCCTGACTGGGGTCCGAAGGGTCCTTCCTCATGCTGTTTCCTTGCCAGATTTCATCATACTCCAACTTTGATTTTCCATGGCTCTTCCCCCCCAGGGTCTCATATCCTGCCACCTACATCCTGCTCAGCAAACCACAGCTAAGTTGATGAAGGCAGAATCTAGAGGGAACAGCTCAGACCTAACCTCTCCACAGACAAGGGCCCTGGGAGGTTTAGT